AATCTCTCCTCGCTCTCTGTTCTCTGTCAGTTTTCTCACTCCATTTGGTGCTTGGCTGAGTTCTTTATCTCTTCATTTGATGTTTTAGGGTTTCAGGATTATTGTATTCTTTGTTTGGCTTAGTTTTTTGGATCTTTGCTGTGGAGGGACGGTGTGGTGCTTCTGCCTAGAGCGCCATTTTGCCGAAACTCTGAGAGCTGACTATATTTAGTGTCTACTTGGGATTTGGTGTAGGATGCAAGTGGTTTTTAAAATCAGGAAAAGGAAAAATAAAAAATCAAGTCATAGTAGATCCTAGAGATTTGTTTATGCTTTTTAATGCTGGAAACTTGAGATTGTTTTCCTTCTTTGAGGAAGGAAAGTATAATCTGTGATTTTGCACAGCTGGGAAGAAATGTTTCTGCTATCCATCCAAATCTCACCATCTGCTTTCCAGCCATGTAAAGAATAATTTGTTGGTGTTGTTAGGTGCCGTCCAGTCAGTTCCTACCAGCCCTCTGTACATGAGAACAAAACACTGCCTCATCCTGCACAATCCTCACAATTGTTGCTATGTTTGAGCCCATCATTATAGCCACTGTGTCAGTCCATCTCGTTGAGGGTTTTCCTCTTTTTTGTTGACCCTCTGCTTTATAAAGCATGATGTCCTTCTTCAGGGAGTGGTCCCACCTGAAAACATGTCCAACGTATGTGCAACGAAGTCTTGCGGTCCTTGCTTCTAAGGAGCATTCTAACTGTATTCTTCCAAGACAGATTTGTTCGTTCTTCTGGCAAGTTATTAGTATATTCAATATTCTTCTAGTAGCATATTCAATATTCTTCTCCAGCCCCACAATTCAAAGTCATCAGTTCTTCTTTGGTCTTCCTTATTCATTGTCCAGCTTTCATATGCATATGAGGTGATTGAAAATACCATGACTTGGGTTAGGCACATCTTAGTCCTCAAAGAATAATTGCAGCTCTTCAAATGTGCAAGGGTCTCCCATGTCTCTTTGCTTTGTTCATGTTATTCCTTTTGCTATATGCCCTGTCCCCATCCATCCATTATCCTGTATGCTTCACCCACTATGTCCACCTGAAAAAGGCACAGGTGAAGCTTCCTCTTGGGGAAGACCTTCCTGACGACGTCCCCTGTATCCCCAAGCTGGGTCGACCCCACTGCCTTGGGACACCACTGTATTTTGTTTTCAACTCTATTATATGGCTGTAAGTCCCTGGGTGGCATGAACAGTTAAGCCCTCGGCTACTAATCGAAAGGTTACTGGTTAAAATCCACCCAGAGGCACCTCAGAAAAAAGACCTGGTAATCTACTTCTGAAAAAAGATCACAGCCATTGAAAACCCTATGGAACACAGTTCTACTCTGACACACATGGGGTTTCCATGAGTAAGTGACTTGATGGCAACTGGTTATATGACTGTACAATTACTAGGATGGTTTGTTTACCTGTCTTTTGCTCCTTCTAAACCTTGAATTTCTACTGAAGACAGAAGGAGGTCCTACTGAGATGCCACATCAATAATTTGTGATTGCATGATGATAACGTGGCCTAAGATAATTGGTTTTCAAAGTTTTTGGTTGCATCAGGGTGCTTGTCAAAAATGCATAATTTCAAGTCCCAACTCCAGATAGTCTTGTTCATTTGGGTGGAGTACGTGCATTTTAACAAACACCTAGGTTGCCCTGAGACAGTTGCTCAGGAGACTTCATTTTACAAGAAACTGGCCTGGCTTTTTGTGTCTCCTCTTGCTGCCAAACTCCGGGCTGTTTCCGTCTAGGAAAGGAGTAGTGAGGGAAGATACACTCAAATCAGGGGAACACACTTGGGTAAAAAAGTTCTGTCCTGAAAGTCAAAGGTACGGACTAGAATCACAATTATTTGTTGATGTTACTTATTCTCGCTTTCCCCGACTTCCTTTTTACAGACAGCCCAGAGCTAGTTGTATTTAAAGCTATTTTGTTGATTCTTTCTCAAGGCACTCTGTGAATAGTTTTCTCAGAGCTAGAAAACTTTACACGTGGGAAATTGAATGGCAATGAGCTTATCTGTCAGCTGCGTGATGCTTCCTCAGTCAATCTGTTCTGGGCGATAAATCCATAATCACTGGAGGCAAGGGCTGTTCATTACGAACGTTCATGTAGCCCAGTCGGAAGGCCTAGCCTAGCCTAGCTGGCAGTAACAACAGCAACCACCATTTTATTTACCTTTTACTTGGTGCCAGGACAATGCTAACTGTTTTATGTCAGTTTTGCCTTTAATCCTCAAGAACACCTTTGAGGTAGGTTTTATAGATGAGGACAGTGGGGCTCAGAGAAGTCCAAATAACTTGTCCAAGGGGCTTGTTGTTGTTGTTAGTTGCTGTCAAATCGATATCGACTCGTGACACCCTCATGAGTGCAGAGTAGAACTGCTCCGTAGAGTTTTCAAGGCTGTGACCTTTCAGAAGCAAGTCGCCAGGCCTGTTCTGAGGCACCTCTGGGTGGGTTCAAACCACCAACCTTTCGACTCGTAGTTGAGTGCTCAACTGCTTGCACCGTCCAGGGACTCCGAGGGCAGAGCTAGGATTAAAGCATCTGTCTGTTTGACCCCAGCTTGTAGATTTCTGCACTACTATGCAGGCCAGCTCCTGAGAACAGCCCTCCACATTTTATAGACAATGGACTGATGCCTCGGGCACATGGCTGGTTAGTAGCAGAGCAGAACTCAGAAGGAAAGTATAATTTGTGATTTTGCACAGCTGAGAAGAAATGTTTCCGCTATCCATTCAAATCTCACCCTCTGCCTTCTAGCCACATAAACAATAATTTGTCCATCCTTTATGTGTACAGAATACAGGCTTGACACCCAGCCTAAGAATTAGGCTTGACGCCCAGCCTAATTTTCTTTTCATGACCTTACACATGGGAAAGACAAGAAAGGCTGGGAAAATTAATGATGATTATGGTAAAAAGAAAAAAAGAGAGACCTTGGATTATTCCTTACTTGTTCAGATAGTTTGGGAAATTCTTGATTCTTCCAGGAATTGTGATTTAAAACAAACAAACGAACAAAAAAAAAACTTATCAAAAGGCTAAATTATGCTGTTATATATGGCCTTGGAACAGATCATGTGGGCTCTGGCCTGTTTCCACAAATTGCCATTCCCCTAACTTTGTGGAGTGTGCTAAAATAGTCACATAATTCTTCCCAGTCCATTTTGAAGATTTGCAAAACCTCCAAAAGCTTTGTTAGACCTGTGCAACCATTGGTAAGCCTTTAATCCAGAGCTGGCCGCAGGTAACAGCTAAACCATGAGTGGATATTTTAGCCTCCTAAGAACACACTGGTTTTATGAAAACCCAGGCTCCTACTGGCTTTTGTGAATATTAACATTTAAGCCAGAGGCAGAAGGCACATAGGCATTGCCAAGAGCTGCTAAGCCTGTGGCTTAATGTGACTGAGCCCCTATATCATGGCAGAAAGACCTTAGATCAGCAGCAGAAAACTTAATTTACTCTCATCTCTGCCTCTGACTGGTGACATCTTAGGCAAAGCTCTCAACCCTGTGGACCTGGTTTTTTGTTTTAAATAATATTAATGACATCTACCCTGGAGCCCTGGTGGCACAGTGGTTAAGCATTCAGCTGCTAACCAAATGCTCAGCAGTTTAAATCTACCAGCCACTCCTTGGAAACCTTATGGGGCAGTTCTACTCCATCCTATAGGCTCACCGTCTTAGTTATGTAGTGCTGCTGTAACAGAAATATAAGTGGATGGCTTTAACAAAGAGAAATGTATACTCTCACAGTCTAGTAGGCTAGATGTCCAAATTCAGGGAGTCAGCTCCAAGGGAAGGCATTCTCTGTCTGTGGGCTCTGGAGGAAGGTCCTTGTCATCAATCTTCCCCTGGACTAGTAGCTTCTCCATGCAGGAGCCCCAGGTCCAAAGGATGTGCTCTGCTCCAGTGCTTCTTTCTTGGTGGTATGAGGTCCCCCAACTCTCTGCTAGCTTTCCTTTCCTTTTATCTCTTGTAAGATAAAAGGTGGTATAGGCCACACCCCAGGGAAACTCCCTTTACATTGGATCAGGGATGGGACCTGAGCAAGGGTGTTCCATCCCACCCTAATCCTCTTTAACATAATCTAATCTTGCTTCATTAACCACAGGCAGAGATTAGGATTTACAACACATAGGAAAATTACATCAATCACCAAATGGAGGACAACCATACAATACTGGGAATCATGGCTTAACCAAGTTGACACATATTTTGGGGGGGACACAGTTCAATCTGTGTAGTTGCTATGAGTCAGAATCAACTCAGATGGTAGTGGGTTTGGTTTGGTTTCGTTCAAACAGAACTTCAAAGCTGACGTGATTAAATGCAGAGTCCTGCTTACAGCAGGGGTGCAGCCAGCACTTGGTGGCATTGAACTATTGGGTATTTATGATAGTTGAGAACCTCAAAGATGAGTCTGCACCTCACAGATGTCACCCTTATCCCTTGTGTTCTGGCTATTTAAGAACTAGTGTGTTGTGTTGGTTCCAGATCACTGTGTCCCAGACAGTGTGGGGTACATTTCACGGTGATATGTAAGACGATTTGAGGTGTCATGTAGACTAACATTTTTACTTGTGTATTAAAAAAGAGATTTGTTCAAAAAAATAAGGAAGAAAAAAAGAGCCAATAAAGAAATATACAGGAACTCTCAATCATGGCTAGTGGGAATGCAAAATGGTACAGCCACTTTGGAAGACTGTTTGGCAGCTTCTTACAAAGCTAAACACAGTCTTGCCATATGATCCAGCAATTGCACTCCTAGGTATTTACCCAAAGGAGTTGAAAACTTACATCTACACGAAAACGTGCATACAACTGTTAAGCAACACTATTCATAATTGCAAAAAAAATTGTAAGCAACCAAGATGTCCTTGAATAGGTGAACTGTGGTATATCCATGCAATGGATTATTATTCAACTATAAAAGGAAATGAGTTATCAAGCCACGAGAAGACATGGAGGAACCTTAAATACATGTTGTTAAGTGAAAGAAGCCAGTCTGAAAGGGCTACATACTTTATGATTCCAACAGTATGACATCCTGGAAAAGACAAAACTATAGAGACAGTAAAAAGATCAGTGGTTTCCAGGGGTTTGCAGTGGGGATAGGGGATCAATATTGTTGTACCAGTTGTAACACATGTACCACACTAATGAAAGTTATTAATAATAGGAGAAACTGTGGGCAGGGGAGAAGAAAGTACAAGAGAATTGTCTGTACTTTCTGTAAACATAAAACTACTCTAAAAATAAATCATATTAATTAAAAAATATAAAGGAAATACTAACATAGATGGTATACAACGACTATGACAAAAATCATGAAAGTGACTAAAGCTTAGGGTATACTTTTAGAATATAAGTCCATAACTGAAGCAAAACTCTTGGGGCCACATGTGTTTCAGAATTCAGAAAATCCCATGTATTACTTGACACTGTCAGAAGTGATTGGGACAACACTCTAAAATCAAACACATTATTATTTCTGCAGTAAAACATATGCTTATTCACCATAAGTGGGATAAATAAACTCACGTCTATAAATAGACTCACATCAATTCAGGTCAAGTTTTCAGCCAAATGAGTTGCAGAAAAATATTGTTTTTCAGATGTTTTTGCATTTTTGAATTATAGATAAGATTTCAACCTGTAATAAAATAGGTCAAGAGGAAAAAGAGGTAAGTCCAAGAAGCTTAGACCTGAACTAAACTTTATAGTTTACAAAACACTTTCCCTCTCATTAGCTTGCTTGTGAACTTGGCACCCCTTGTAGTACAGATGAGGAAGCTGAAGCTCGGGGTAAGGGACTTTGCCAAGATCACACAGCTGGTAAGGAACAGAGCTAGGACTAGACCCCAGGTCTTCTGCCCGCAGGTTCTTAGCTCTTTTCATACCATGATCTACACATCATGTAATAAGCCCCTAAGAGTCAAGGTTGCAGAGGTTGAATTCTTGAACATGTTCCCTTGCGTACAGAGATGCGTCCCTGCAGGAACATGTCTTACAAGACTGTAATTTCCACTGAGAGGGATATGGAGGGGAAGGATGAGAGCCAAAGACATAAGCTTGACTTTCTGACATTGAACTATGGATGTATCCAAGGTGGTTGGGTCAATCTCTTTAGGCAGCACATAAACCCTGGCCAAACAAATGGTTGTTATAGCCCCATGATCTTTCGGGGAAACCATTGCTTGCTACTTCCAGAAATTCTAATAATAGTAGACATTTACTGAGCACCTGTTATATGTCAGGCACACCTCCCTGTAACACTTTAAAGTGTTATTACCACCTCCTTCCCCTAGATGAAGAAACAGGGGTTCAGGGACATGACCAAGCTAACAAGTGATGAGTTAGGGTATGGCCAAATCTGATTCTCTCTGGGTGGCACAATCTTACTCACTATCCTGCACAGAGCAATGGCAAAGCCCTTTATTTTCAATCCACCCGTGGGAGGGATGCTTTCTCCCAAGACCCCAGGCTGCTGATGGGTGGGCAGGTGGGACAGGTCAGGTGAGGGAGGGGGGACCACAGCACATCTTCCATGGCCTTCCAGAGGATGGCTTCAGTTGGGCACAGGAAATGCTCTATTTGCAAGATGCAGAGGCAAAGATCCTCCAGGATCTCAGGCATGACTCTTGGTGTTCTCCAAGGATGGAGCCTTTCACAGAGCCCCTTTACAGCAGGGCTCCCTGTTTTGCACATCTTGTGTCCCAGAAATCCAAGTGCAGGTTGATTCAGCCACCTGATTTTGATGGTACATCCCCAACAATAGGAAGAGAGGAGGGAGCCTACTGTATTTAGTAAACTAGGATAGATGCATATGGTTGGAATGCAAAATGAGGGTGGCGCTTAGGGGAAGGAATGGAGGTAAAGGTCAAATCATGAAAGCCCTGTGTTTTCACTAAAGAGATTAGGTTTTATTCTGTAGGCAGTGGAGAATGACTGAGTAGTTTTGAGCAGAGGAATGCTGGTGTAATGTCCTATTTGGCTTGGAAATCAGGCATTGCTTCCTGGAGGCAGTGTCAGCTAACCTGGGACTGGAAGAATGGATAGGATGTCAACTAACAGAGATGGTTGTTATCTATGGCAGAAGCAAGTGTGACAACAAGGTATGAGCACAATTATACCAATGGAAACAAACTGCTTCCACATATTGAGCACTTACTGTGTGCATTGGCACATGTGTATACATTATCTCTTTGAATCCTGCAAAGATTGAAGCTCTTCAAGAAAAGTCACAGCTCCTAAGATGTGGAGCTGGGATTCAAACCCATTCCTGTCAGACCCCAAAGGCCATTCTCTTTCTGCCCCACAGACTGCTTCTCCCCACAGAGTTCAGTCTGGGCTCAGAGCGCAGCGGAAGGAGGTGGAAGAACAGTGGAGGCTCAGGCAGAAATCCAAGTCAGAGTTAGACTTTAAGGAGCCTTGAAAGCTGAGCAGCTGTCCCAAATGTGGGCTTCCGGACACCACTACTGCTCACAAACAGTCCCCACATACTTGATGGGGCTGCCTTAATCAAAGTGAGATTATCATGTGGAGGAGAGAAGCACCCCTAAGGGGCCAGTATTAATTCCAGGATTAGTTCTCCTAGCTTGGTTATTGCTCCTTAGTTGTATTTCTCTGTCTTCATTTTTCTGAGTCCATGCACTCTAGGTAAAAACAGAAGTCATGAGAAAGAATTTTAAGAAACAGGTCCTACTGCATTAGGATGGTTCAGAAGGCAGTTTCAAGGACCTACAGAAATTCCAGACAACTGGCCAAGATTTGGGGATATGGGCTGGATCCTGGGCTAGGCCTGTGTGGACTCAGTGATCCATAAGACAGTCTCCTTCACATGGGAAGCTTGAGAATTTACAATAGGAATCAAGCATGTACCTCTGAAACAGTCAGAAAACAATAGCATGCTTGACAGTTAGATACTGACAGAGAGAGACTGGAGCTGGGAGAAAGGTAGGGGCATAATGGATTGAATTGTGTCCCCCAAAAATATCTATCAACTTTGCTAGGTCATGATTCCCAGTATTGCATGATTGTCTACCATTTTATCACCTGATGTAATTTCCCTATGTGTTGTAAATGCTATCATTTGTAATAAGATGGATTAGCAGCAGTCATACTGATGAGGTCTACAAGATTAGATAGTGTCTTAAGCCAATCTCTTTTGAGTTACAAAAGAGACGTGAGCAGAGAGACATGGGGACCTCATACCACCAAGAAAACAGTGCCAGGAGCAGAGTGCATCCTTTGGACCTGAGGTTCCTGTGCTGAGATGCTCCCAGACCAAGGCAAAACTGATGAACCACAAGGACCTTCCTTCAGAGCTGACAGAGAGAGAAAGCCTTCCCCTGGAGCTGATGCCTTGAATTTGGACTTGTAGCCTACTAGACCGTGAAAGAATAAAATTTCTTTCTGTTAAAAGCCATCCACTTGTGGTATTTGTTATAGCAGCACTAGATGACTAAGACAGATGGTGACAGGCAGGGCGCTTCCTTGAGAAGGCACAACCACAGTCTCCTTTGAGCCTTTCCTCATACGTGGGTTGCCACACTTTGAATCCCACTTAGGGTTTGGGATTAGATTTCCCCCCAACTCAAATGGAATTTCTCTTGGAGGCAGTGTGGCTGAGTACAGTTAGAGTTAGAGCTGCCCCCTTTCCTCTATTATAGGAGTCTGGGATATGTCAGAGCCACTAAATGCCCCTCATTACCCCTGGAAAAAGGAAACCAACACTTATTGAACGTCTGATCATGCCGAGTATCAATAATGGGATGTTATACGCATGGTCTCATTCTAACTCTTAACAGCTCTTTAAAAGCAGGAAAGAGAGGTTAAAGGGGAAGCAAGCTTAATGTCTCCCTGAGAACTCAATGAAAATTTTCTCTTTGAGAGAGAAATCAGTAAAACCCTCACACACCCGTGGTTGGAAGTAAACCAAGTAGTTATAAGCTGATGAGAAATTGAAGAGTCTGAGACCACAGGGAGCTGTAATCAAGGTCTACTCCCATGGAGATATTCCCATGGAATCCATTTGTTGTTGTTAGGTGGCTTCAGTCAGTTCCAAATCACAGGGACCCTATCTAAGCCTAACCCTAACCCCAGCCCTAACCCTAACCCTAACCTGTGTATAACAGAAGGAACCACTGCCCAGTCCTGCACCACCCTCACAATCATTGCTACGTTTGAGCCCATTGTTGCAGCCACTGTGTCACTCCATCTCCTTGAGGGTCTTCCTCTTTTTCGCTCATCCTCTACTTTACCAAGCACAATGTCCTTCTCCAGGGACTCGTCCCTCTTGATAACATGTCCGAAGTATGTGAGACAAAGTCTCACCATCCTCACTTCCAAGGAGCATTTTGTTGTACTTCTTCCAAGACAGATTTGTTCGTTTTTTGGGCAGTCCATATACTTCACCAACACCATAATTCAAATGCTTCAGTTCTTCTTTGGCCTTCCTTATTCATCATCCAGCTTTTACATGCATATGAGGCAATTGAAATCTTTGCTTTTCAACACTTTAAAGAGGTCTTTTGCAGCAGATTTTCCCAATGCAATATGTCGCTTGATTTCTTAACTGCTGTGTTCATGCGCGTTGATTGTGGATCTAAGTAAAATTAAACACTTGACAACTTCAATATTTTCTCTGTTTATCATGACGTTGCTTATTGGTCCAACGGTGAGGAGTTTTGTTTTCTTTATGCTGAGGTGTAATCTACACTGAAGACTGTAGTCTTTGGTCTTCATCAGTAAGTGCTTCAAGTCCTTTTTGCTTTCAGCAAGCAAGGTTGTGTCATCTGCATATCACAGGTTGTTAATGAGTCTTCCTCCAGTCCTGACAGGCATCTTCTTCATATAGTCCAGCTTCTTGAATTATTTGCTCAGCATACAGATTGAATAAGTATGCTGAAAGGATACAACCCTGACGCAAACCTTTCCTGATTTTAAACCATGCAGTATCCCCTTGTTCTGTTCAAATGACTGCCTGTTAATCCATGTACAGGTTCTGCAAGAGCACAACTAAGCGTTCTGGAATTCCCATTCTTCACAATGTTATCCATTATTTATTATGATCCACACAGTCAAATGCCTTTGCATAGTCAATAAAACACAGGTAAACATCTTTCTGGCATTCTCTGCTTTCAGCCAAGTTCCATATGCCATCAGCAATGATATCCCTTGTTCCTTGTCCTCTTCTGAATCCGGCTTGAATTTCTGACAGTTTCCCGTCCATGTACTGCTGCAAATGTTTTTGAATGATGTTCAGCAAAATTTTATTTGCATGTGATATTAATGATATTCTTCGATAATTTCTGCATTCTGTTGCATCACCTTTCTTTGGAATGGGCACAAATATGGATCTCTTCCAGTCAGTTGGCCAGGTAACTGTTTTCCAAATTTCTTGGCATAGACGAGCGAGCACTTCCTGCATTGAATCCATTTGTTGAAACATCTCAATTGGTATTCCATCAATTCCTGGAGCCTTGTTTTTCACCAATGCCTTCAGTGCAGCTTGGACTTCTTCCTTCAATACCATTGGTTCTTCATCATATGTTACCTCCCGAAATGGTTGAATATTAACCAGTTCTTTTTGGTACAGTGAGTCTGTGTATTCCTTCTATCTTCTTTTGATACTTCCTGCATTGTTCAATA